CTCGGCCGGGGCGGGGGGCTGAGCCGGAGGTGAGCACTGAGGACAGAGGGAGGGAGCTGGCCGGGGCAGGGCGGGGGGGTCACCCTGACGTCGTGCCGTGCGGTGGAGCTGCCTTCGCTGCGTCTTCGGTTGTGCGGTGTTTGATCGAGCTGGCACTCCCTCAGGGCTGGCCATGCCGAGGCTTCGTAACGTGCTGGGGTCATTCACTCCCGTGACTTGCCACGAAAACGTGGGAAATCTCTGTGCTGTACAAAGTGGATTACAGCAATCAACAATATGTTTATTTAAACTCTGCTCCTTACGGAAAGTTACTGAGTTACTTAGTTACCATGTGTGAGGGCTGATTCATGCATATATGGTAAACTGGTCTGTCTTGGCTCAGGAGAAGATCACCCCTGAACAGAAAGGTAAGCTACAAGAAGAAAAATATTTTCCACATGCAGTGCTTCAAAGTTGAGTTTCATTGTTAGTTTTGGCGGTGGAAAGACGTTCTCCTGTTACCAGAAACGTCAGCACTTGTCTTCCGGTCCTGTGCAGCACGTGGGGAGTGTCAGAGCAGTGATGTCACAGCCAGCTGGAAGGAGCCACAGCTTTCCTGGCCCTCCTGCAGCTGGAGGAGATGAGAATGTTGCCTAATATGTTACATCGCCTCGTCATAAATGAGCAGTAAAGGAATAAATCACCTTTAAGCTTTGAACTACCTCTGCACTTCCCTGATTTTTTTCCTCCTTTGGCTGTTCTCCCTTGACGGTCTTTACTGTATATAAGAGAAGCTTGTGGGCTCTTTTAATAATAGTTGCCATTACTGTGGCGATCGTTGTTAAAGCTGGGGATTGCTGGGTTGCGAGGGACTTCCTGGTACGCCTCTTCCCTCATCCCGCCCCAAACGATTTCACCACATGGGCTGCTCCCTCATTTTGTCTGTACACTTCACTTTGGCACTTCAGTGCTGGAAAGCCCCCAAAGAGCCCAGGGATGTTCTGAGAAGTGGCAGGAAAGCTCCAAAACTGGCTTCAGAACTGCTTTGTGCTGGCAAAGCAGCTTCAGCACAACCAAAACTATGATAGCTGAGGCATACCAGACCCTGGTTTAGAAGAAGAGTGATGTATGGGTTAGGGATGCCAAACTGGAACAGAAGAGACACAGATTCTCTTTTCTCCCCTTTGTGCTTCAGCTCTTCATTTACGAAATAAAATCCCTTAATCCGAGCACAGATTAGGATGCTAGAGAGGGGATATGCAGTGGCTGCTGAAGATGGCAACACGGGGCTGCGGA